GGAAGGGGAGGGGGAGGGTTCGAGTTTAGGGAGCAGATGAGGGAGTTCTGAGGTGGACAGCAGGAGGGCCGACAGCCGTGGGTGTGCTGGAGGCGCTGCGCTGTACACCCAAGGCGGCCAGATGGAAGATTTACGGGGGCGCATTTGCCCACAGCTGAAAACGAGCGATACAGAAAAAGCATGGCTCTGTGGGTGAGCAGTGCCAACAGTTCTTTAGTAGCTTTAGCTTGTTGAGTGTTTAATGTTAGCAATACACACAGGGCGGACTTTTAAAACACCTTTAGAAAGCCTCCCATCTGCCGGCCACTTGGGACAGAGGAACGGGAGACAGTCTTCACTGACGCGGAGCTACTGCTGTACCCGCGGGGAGGTGCAGAGACCGGCAGGCTTGGCACGCATTTTGTACAAAGGGACAGAGTAAATACGTTAGACTTTGTGCACCTATGGGCTCTGCCTCCACGAGTCAGCTCTGGTGTTACAGCGAAAGCAGACATAGGCAGTAGATGAACAGGCCTGGCTGTGCCCCATAAAACCTTGATGGGCACTGAAATCTGAATTTCATGTCATTTTCATGGGTCACAAAATATTCTTTCTTTTTTTATTTTTCTTTCAACGATTGAAAAGTGTAAAAACCAAGCTTGCCGGTGGCACAAGCACAGGTGGTGCGCTGTGGCCTGCGGGCCCTGGGCCAGGCAATCAGGAACGACCTAGCATTTCTACTGGTCCAAATGCGTGATCCCTCCAAAGTGGGGATGGCGTCGGGCCTTTCGGCTCTGCAGGGGGGCCAGGCTCTGCCAAAGCCATGGGGTGGGGGTGGGCTCTGCGTGCGGGGACAGAAGGAGCCTGTGGGGTTGGAGGGTGGGGAGTCGCCCCCCACACCCCCTGCCAATTCTCTATCCTCCTGGAGCCACCCTGCTAATCACCACGTCAAATGTCCCGAGTTCCCATCTAGGGGATCCTGTGCTCACCCCAAAGCTTGGTTCCTGTTGGGGGAGTCACCCTGTTGTTCGTGTGGCTCAGCCCTGCAGCAGCGCTGCCATCGTTGCTCCTGGTGACGACTCACTGCACCCCGTAAAGGCTCCCTGCCTCCTCCTTCCCCCCAAATGCCAACAATGAAGTTGTTTATAAACGTCTCTCACTGAAAGATTGGAGCAGTGGTGGCCAGTTCTAGCTCAGGGAAACTTGAAACTGGATCCTGGACATAACTGCTCTTAAAAAATTTAAAAACTTTTCATTATGCCCAGCTCAGTGGTTGAGTGTCAGCCCTTGAACCAGGAGGTCATGGTTTGATTCCCAGTCAGGGCACATGCTTGGGTTGCAGGCTCAATCCCCAGTAGGAGGCGTGCAGGAGGCAGCTGGTCAATGATTCTCATCATGGATGTTTCCATCCCTTTTCCCTTCTTCCTTCCTCTCTCTGAGATCAATAAAAACATTTAAAAAAGTATATACATTTTTTTCAATCAGAGTTGACACACAATATTATATTAGTGTCTGATGTACAACTTAGTGACTAGACCAGTGATGGTGAACCTATGACACGTGTGTCAGAGATGACACGCGAACTCATTTTTTTGGTTTATTTTTCTTTGTTAAATGGCATTTAAATATATAAAATAAATATCAAAAATATAAATCTTTGTTTTACTATGGTTGCAAATATCAAAAAATTTCTGTATGTGACACGGCACTAGAGTTAAGTTAGGGTTTTTCAAAATGCTGACATGCCGAGCTCAAAAGGTTTGCCATCACTGGACTAGACATTCTGTACCTTATGAAGTGGCCCTTCCAGTAAGTCCAGCGCCCACCTGGCACCGCACACAGTTATGCAACACTATTGACCATAGTCCCTGTGCTGCACTGTACACCCGGGACTATTTCATAACTTCCAACTGTACTGTTTAATCTCGTCACCACGACCCCAGCCCGATCCCCTCTGGCCACCATCAGTCTGTTCTCTGCGCCTATGAGCCTGTTTCAGCTTTGTTTGTTCATTTATTTTGTTTTTTAGATTCCACATGTAAGTGAGATCACATGGTTTTTTCTCTGTCTAACATTTCACTTAGCATAATGCCCTCTAGATCCATCAGTGTTGTCACAAATTAAAAAAAAAATTTGGGGGTTAAACCTCATCTGAGGATATTTTTTCCATTGATTTTTAGAGACAGTAGAAGGAAGGGAGGGGAGGAGGGAGGGAAAGAGAAGGAGAGAGAGGAGAGAGAAAAGGAGAGAAAGAAAGAGCGAGATGTGAGAGACACACATTGTTTGGTTGCCTCCTGACTGAGCCCCAATCGGGGCCGGGGATCGAACCTGCAACCCAGGTATGTGCCCTTGAACGGAATTGAGCCCGAGACCCTTTATTGCACAAGGGGATGCTCTAACCAGTGAGCAACACCAGCCAGGGCAAGATTTTATTCTTTTTTTATTGTTTAAAGTATTACATATGTCTCCTTTTTCCCCATTGACCCCTCCCCCTGGCCATGCTTATATGCATACATACAAGTCCTTTGATTCATCTCTTACCACTCCCCAACCCTCCCCGGCCTTCCCGCTGTAGTTTGACAGTCTGTTCGATGCTGCTCTGCCTCTGTATCTATTTTTGTTCATCAGTTTATAATGGTCTTTATTATCCATAAATGAGTGAGATCATGTGGTATTTTTCTTTCATTGACTGGCTTATTTCACTTAGCATAATGCTCTCCAGGTCAATCCATGCTGTTGCAAATGGTAAGAATTCCTTCTTTTTTACAGCAGCATAGTATTCCATTGTGTAGATGTACCACAGTTTTCTAATCCACTCATCTGCTGATGGGCACTTAGGCTGTTTCCAGATCTTAGCTATGGTAAATTGTGCTTCTGTGAACATAGGGGTGCATATATCCTTTCTGATTGGTGTTTCTAGCTTCTTGGGATATATTCCTAGAAGTGGGATCACTGGGTCAGATGGGACTTCCATTTTTAGTTTTTTGAGGAATCTCCATACTGTCTTCCACAGTGGCTACACCAGTCTGCATTCCCATCGCAGTGGGATTAAACCGTTATCAGAGATAGCATTGGCAAATATGTTCTCCCATGCAGTGAGCTTCTTGTTGTTTTATTGATTGTTTCTAAGATTTTATTATTTTTTTTATAGCTGAGTAATACTTCATTGTGGATACATACCACTTCTTTATCAGCTACTGATGGACACCTGGGCTGCCCCCCTATCTCGGCTCTTGTAAATAATGCTGGGGTGCAGATAGCTTTTCAAATTAGTGTTTTCATTTCCTTCAGAGAAGTACCCTGGAGAGGGATTGCTGGGTCATAAGGTCATTCTATTTTTACGTTTTTGAGGACCCCCATACTGTTCTCCATCATGGCTGCACCGATCTGCACTCCCACTCACGGTGCACGAGGGTCCCTTTTCTCCACATGATGGTTCTTCAAGTTCTGTTGACATCCCACTGACGGGGAAATTCAAACAGAGTGGCGAGTCCTCTGGGAGTTCAGAGGAGAGAGAGTACTGCCGGCTGGGAGACAAGGTGGGCTGTCGGGAAGAGGAGATGTGTGAGCTCAATCTCGAAGGTAGGATTTGGAGCAGAAGGGTATCAGGGGTGGGGAACGTCTGGCCCGCGGGCCGTATAAGTCCCTCGAAACCATTTGGTCTGGCCCTGCCAAGGCATTGGGGGTGAGTTAATTAAATGTTTGACCAAATACAGCAGGCTCATTTTTAAGTTGATAATTTTGTATGGCCCGTAAATGATGTTATAAACATCCAAATGGCGCTTGGTAGAAGAAAGGTTCCCCAGCCCTGGTTAGGTGAAAGGCATTCTAGCTCACAGGAAGGGCCCGAGCATGCAGAGCGTGGCAAACCTGTGGGGTGCGTACAAGTGGTTTGGTTTGGCTCAAGTCTAGTAACATGGTGATAATCAGCAAGGATGATACCTATTATTAGTAATAAAAGAGATATATTTAAAGTTGCCAGGTTACTTAGTAACTAAGTGAGCTAAAATTAAAGCTCTATTCTGTGGTCTGAAGTCTTAACAAATAACCTGCATCTCTAACAGCTCCCGGGGCTGCTGGTGCGGCCTGTGCAGGCAGCACACTGCTGAGTGACAAAGCCCCGTTGGCGGCATCTGTGCCTCCCAGTGCGCGGCGAGCGTCCGGGGGCCAGGGTGCTGCCCGTGAACGTCATCGGGTGAACTAACGGGTTCATGAATGCAGGAAGGAGGTCCTGCCATCAAGCCCCACCACAGTGCAAGGCTCTTACTCACTCATTCACTTACGAACCCATTCATTTATTTGCTTGCAGATGGGTCTGCTTCATGGGTCAGCGCAGAAACCTTATGGATTTTGGGCAGATACATGGTTCACCTACCCCTTGAAGAAATTACGAAAATCAGTCCCATGGAAGTAAGTCGGGAAGGCACACTCGCTGTCCCCCTTGCTAACTCACCGGGAAGAGGTCAGCCAGCAGCCCTGGGTAGCCGGGTCTCTAAGAAAACGCTTGGAGAGCGGCCTCAAGCCGTCAGCCCCCAACTGTGTTCTCGTGCAGACGAACCCAGAAAAGGGAAGGGTTGTGGCCACTGAGACAGCGCTGACGCGAGCCAACGTGACAGGAGGTTGGCTGTGAACCAAAAATCACTTGAGTATTTTCGTCCTCCAGAAAGGCCACGGAAAATAGCGCTAGGTTTCCCGGCCAGGAGGCGTGAACCCGAGTGGAAGCAACATGGAGTAGCAGCGCTGAGCTCTGTCCTGCGCTGCTTAGCTCGTGGCCAGCCTGTTGCTCTCCTGGTGTTGACCCAGTGACCCTGACTGGACTGCAGCCTCCTAAGCACGCCGCCAGCCGGAGGCGCTCACGGAGCGGTGGGCTCGCCTCCGCCTCTATCCCGAGCGCCCAGCTGGCCAGTCATCTACTCCCAGTGAGAGAAGTCTGTGCAGCAAGTGACAGGCTGTTCAAGGGCCGGCTGACCCAGCAATGCCTGGCTGTTACGAAGCCAGAGGCAGCACGAGGCTCCTCTTTCTACCTGGGAGGCTGCGCACGTGTTGAAAGTCTTGATTTTGTAACCTGATTACAACATGGGCTAACCCCGCTGTGCCCTCCCAGTGCTGAGTCCCGGAGGTGAGAAGACAGGTTAGATTCCGAGGAAGCTGGGCAGGGGGCATTGCTAGGGTCAGATCCCACAGGCACCTTTTCTTCTGCGTCTAGAAGTGTGGGGAAGGGCGGGGAAAGCAGGCCCCCGCTGAAGGCACGTCACAGGGGCAACTGTATGAGGCTTTTAAGCACAGAAAATAGTGCGTTGAAACATCGGGACATTAAGGGGACAGCCGTGGACACAGGCAAAAAGTGAGCAGGAATAGAAAGATACTAATATGCTGCTCAGATTCTTTCTATTCTAGTTCACTTTTTAGTCTTACAAAGAATACATGTTTTTAATTTCCTGAGGCCATTTATAAACTCACTCATCTATTCAAAAAACTCTGATTCCCCAAAGCAGGAAATGTGTGGGCCACATTCTCTAACCCCAGTATAACAAATCTAGAAGTAAATGCGCAATATTAGCTTAAAAAAGTCCAGCTTCATGGGTGGTAGAAGTAATGCTCCTTAAATACCAGGGGGCTTTCTGAGGCAGGAAGCACGGCACACCGTGTCTGGGATGGCGCAGCACAGACCCTGGGCGGGTGCCGTGGCCATGCCCCTCCTTGGCCTGACCTTTCTGTGCTTGTCCACCAGATCGGGCTGTTCATCAGCTATGACAACGCCACCAAGCAGCTGGACACCGTCTATGACATCACGCCGGAGCTGGCCCAGGCGTTCCTGGAGCGGATCGGCTCCTCCGACTTTGACATGAGGAACGCCTCCACCGTCCACAGGCAGGGCCCTCCCAGCTTTGCCCAAGACGCGCTCTAAGCTCAGGTTCCTCTGAGCAGCAAAGGCTCCGGGAGGGAAGGGGAGTGGCTGGTCTGTGAATAGTCTCGGGGATGGGCTTCCCCAGAGACCTCTCCAAGGCCTGAGGGGGCACAGAGGCTTTCTGGGGTCTCCTGGGTGCCAGGCATTTTATGCAACGTTGTCAAGCTCAGGGTTTAACCCTCGGCACGCTGTCCGTCCCAAGGTAAATGTGTAATTCCCAGTGAGCTGGGCGGAGTGTTGGAAACAGTCCTGGGTCCCCATACTTGTGAACCCTTGTTCTCTAGACTCTCCGGTGGGTTGTTAGACCCCAGATGAGATCAGCTCTAGAATTTAGGGCTTGTAATGGGATCCTCCAGGAGCCATTGCCAGCAGGAGCTGTGCCCAGGAAGAGTCCGAATGTCGGGGGGATGGGCATGCAGTGTGCGCGCGCGCGCGCGCGCGCGCGCGTGTGTGTGTGTGTGTGTGTGTGTGTGTGTGTGAATACCCAGGCCTTGCTGTCTCCTCCAACATCACCTACCACCTTCCAGTTTTTCAAGCTCACGTGTGAGAATGTTCTTACATAAAACTGTTACCCCTTCTTCCTCCATCCCTAGTAATTCTCACCAGCAGCCTGGGTCCCCTGTTTCTATGGTTACCCGAAGGATACCTTAGTGCAGTGGTTCTCAACCTGTGGATCTCGACCCCTTTGGGGTCGAACGACCCTTTCACAGGGGTCGCCTAAGACCATCCTGCATATCAGATATTTACATTACGATTCATAACAGTAGCAACATTACAGTTATGAAGTAGCAACGAAAATAATTTTATGGTTGGGGGTCACCACACCATGAGGAACTGTATTAAAGGGTCGCGGCATTAGGAAGGTTGAGAACCGCTGCCTTAGTGGGACCTGAGCCAGGCCCCCTGGTGTGATCCTGGCTCTGCAACTTATCAGCTGTGTGATTCCGGCCGTGTTCACGCCCCCCTCTGTGCCACCCTTTCTCTGCCCGTGAAAGGGGAGGCCAGGGCCTGCCCACCTCACTGAGTCCTTGTAAGGACCACACACACACACGGGACACAGTTATGTCTCAAGAAATGTTAGTTATTCTCAACTCGCTTATGCACATTCAGCCTTTGCTCCCCCTGTCATCTTTCTCATTCGAAACAATTTCAGACCCTCCCTGACCTGGTTGCTCTCCTGTGGACACGTCCGAGCATGTCCGTGTCCTGGGAGGGCGGAGCCAGGTGGGGCATGGCCAACGGGGCGGTCACCACGCCACGTCCAAGAGATAGCGCGGAATGCTAAGAGCAGCCAGGACCGAACGTGTGGTCCGTCCCCACCGGGAAGTGTGCTAACCTTCAGCATGCCTCTCCTCACACGCCCAGTGTTCCCCATCCTGCACCCATCACATGTGCTACGTCTGCTCACGAACAAAGCAAACCTGCCCTGTCAAAGCCTCTGGGCCTGGCCGCCCTGCGCAGACGGACTGTGGGCAGCAGCCTGGCCGCCCTGTGCAGACGGACTGTGGGCAGCAGCCTGGCCGCCCTGCGCAGACGTTCACAGGGGTCGCCTAAGACCATCCTGCATATCAGATATTTACATTACGATTCATAACAGTAGCAACATTACAGTTATGAAGTAGCAACGAAAATAATTTTATGGTTGGGGGTCACCACACCATGAGGAACTGTATTAAAGGGTCACGGCATTAGGAAGGTTGAGAACCGCTGCCTTAGTGGGACCTGAGCCAGGCCCCCTGGTGTGATCCTGGCTCTGCAACTTATCAGCTGTGTGATTCCGGCCGTGTTCACGCCCCCCTCTGTGCCACCCTTTCTCTGCCCGTGAAAGGGGAGGCCAGGGCCTGCCCACCTCACTGAGTCCTTGTAAGGACCACACACACACACGGGACACAGTTATGTCTCAAGAAATGTTAGTTATTCTCAACTCGCTTATGCACATTCAGCCTTTGCTCCCCCTGTCATCTTTCTCATTCGAAACAATTTCAGACCCTCCCTGACCTGGTTGCTCTCCTGTGGACACGTCCGAGCATGTCCGTGTCCTGGGAGGGCGGAGCCAGGTGGGGCATGGCCAACGGGGCGGTCACCACGCCACGTCCAGGAGATAGCGCGGAATGCTAAGAGCAGCCAGGACCGAACGTGTGGTCCGTCCCCACCGGGAAGTGTGCTAACCTTCAGCATGCCTCTCCTCACACGCCCAGTGTTCCCCATCCTGCACCCATCACATGTGGTGCTACGTCTCACGAACAAAGCAAACCTGCCCTGTCAAAGCCTCTGGGCCTGGCCCTGCGCAGACGGACCGTGGGCAGCAGCCTGGCCGCCCTGCGCAGACGGACCGTGGGCAGCAGCAGCCTTGCCGCCCTGCGCAGACGGACCGTGGGCAGCAGCCTGGCAGAGAAGTCAGGTGACCTGCCGAGTCCTCTGGCCTGGAGCTGGGCTCTTCACCACGGGGGACGGCACTCCCGGCTGGACCTGGGTCACGTCCCACTGCTGCCCGACACGCCTCTGTCTCCTTGGTTTTCTGTCCTTTGGAGGTCATTATCACCTGGGTGTGGTTTGCAAAGCATCCTGGCCATGAATCTGGGCCCCAGAGGACCCCTGGCGGGCGGCGCCGTCTCCCAGGAAAGGGGGCGTCTCTGTGGCTAACTCCGCACCAGGCTGCTCTCAGGCCGCCCCGCCCAGGAGGAGAGCTGACTGCTGGACCCAGCTCCGAGCCCAGCCCCACTGCTTGTCCTGCGCAGGTCCCTGCGCCCTGCGCCAGACCCTTTCTCCTCTCACACAGGCTGGGGCTGCTCGTCTGTTTCTATGGAGACCTGGAGCTGCTGGACGCCGCCCTGGCCCGAGTCCTCCTCCACCAGATGATCAAGTGCAGCCGTCTCCGGGGCTTCCAGGCTGGTGTCCAGAAGGTGTGGATGGGATGCACAGGCCGGGCCGGGGCCTCAGTTTTACTGGCCAGAGAAATGGGGAGTCTTGCCTGGCCTTTGAGAGAAACACATAAGGTTAGTCGGGACCTAGGTCCAGCCAGAGTAGACGGTGCCTCAAACACACGAGCTTAACACGGGAAGGAGCAACACAAAACTGTAGGAAAAAGCTTGGTGAGATCAAAGTTCTCTCAGAATGGCCACCTCAAACTTAGCGGAGAGGGTCACTGGGGGATGGTAAGTGCAGCTCTTGAGTCCTCAGGTGGAGCCAGACTGCGTGTCTGACCAGCACCCAGGTGATGTGCTGCTGCCGCCCAAAGACCACAGGCGAGCAGCGCTGCTCTAGCGCCCTCGCTGAGCAGGTGCGGGAGCAGGTGCGGGAGCAGATGTGGGAGCAGGTGTGGGAGCAGGTGTGGGAGCAGATGTGGGAGCAGGTGCGGGAGCAGGTGTGGAGCAGGTGTGGGAGCACGTGTGGGAGCAGGTGCGGGAGCAGGTGTGGAAGCAGGTGCGGGAGCAGGTGTGGAGTAGGTGTGGAGCAGGTGCGGGAGCATGTGTGGGAGCAGGTGCGGGAGCAGGTGTGGAGCAGGTGTGGGAGCAGGTGTGGAGTAGGTGTGGAGCAGGTGTGGGAGCAGGTGCGGGAGCAGGTGCGGGAGCAGGTGTGGAAGCAGGTGTGGAGCAGGTGCGGGAGCAGGTGCGGGAGCACATGTGGGAGCAGGTGCGGGAGCAGGTGTGGAAGCAGGTGTGGGAGCAGGTGTGGGAGCAGGTGTGGGAGCAGGTGTGGGAGCCGAGCGCTAGCGAAGGAAAGCGGCTGCTGCGTTGGGGGAACTGGTGCTGTGACAGCCATTTCTTTCACTTCACTCTGCTGCCCCCCAGTGGCCGTTTCAGGACGGCCCGGAACACAGGGTACACACATCTGAAGTAAATGCATAGGTTCTTCATACAAATTCAGGTGTTAGAACATGAACCGTGCTTGCTTTTTTCCTTTTGTGCAGAGGTCATGTTACAAGTGGCGACATGGGAGCAATTGGGAAACACACGTGACTAGCGCTAGACAGACATAACATCATTGTTCAGGTGGTCACAGAAGCGTGGGATTTTGTAAGGTATCATTTTAAGTGAAAAATATAGACAAGTGCACTTCTGTTCATATCCCAATCATGTAGAAATATGTACTGTGGTTTATTTATGAGGTACATGTTTATGAAGGCATAGAGGTCTTAGCAGCCGGCAGTTATTTGTACGAGGCAGGGTTTCCAGGAGACTTACTTTTTGTTACCACTGGGAATTACGTTGACATAGATTGCATATCACCATGGGAACCCCTGGGTGTTGCAGGAAGGAAGACAGCCATGTATACCGCGGTAGAGTGCAAGGTCACAAAGGAAAGCAGATACTCTGCGAGGGGGTGGCTCTATGGGTGAAGCTGACGAAATTTCCTCCTGCCATGCTTTCAGGCTGATTTAGTAACAGTTAGTATTTAAATGAAGCACAAGGTCAAGGCCGGAGGAGGCGGTGTGCTCATTAGGGTGACTCGCTGTCTGGGCCTGGCAGGAGTCCCTCCCTGGCTGGATTCCTCTCCCACTGGCGAGGCAGGGTGCTGGGAGGCAGGGTGCCGGGGGGCAGGGTGCTGGGCGGCGTTGTGGCGCCGTACCCCCCAGGGTGCAGTCAGAGGGAACTCCTGTGCCATCTGCTACGGACCCTCACGGCAGCTTGCTCCCCCGCCAGCTCAAGGCCGACCTCCTGGACATTGCCACGGGGAACCAGACGCTCAACGAGACCCTGGGCTCCTTGTCGGATGCGATCGTGGGCCTGACCCTCCGTCAGCTGGAGTCCCTGTCCCCCGAGGCTGTGCATGGCGCCATCGCTACCCTCAGCCAGGTGTCGGGATGGGCCAGGAGCCAGGTGATCATCTTGTCCGCCAAGTACTTGGCCCATGAGAAGGTCAGTGGGAACTCCGAACTGTTTTTTTAAATATTTTATTGATTTCAGAGAGGAAGGGAGAGAGAGAGAGAGAGGGAGGTGATGAGAGAGAATCATTGAGTGGCTGCCTCCTGCATGCCCTCCACTGGGCATCGAGCCCGTAACCCAGGCATGTGCTACAATCGAACCATAACCTTCTGGTTCATAGGTTGACTCTCAACCGCTGAGCCACGCCAGCCGGGCTGAACTCATTTTTTGTTGTTGTTAATCCTCGCCTGAGGACATTGTTTCCATTGCTCTTCAGAGAGTGGAAGAGAGGGAAAGAAGGGGACAGAGTGAGATAAACATTTCGGTGAGGAGACGCATTGAATGGTTGCCTCCCATATGCGCCCCCACTGAGGGTGGGGCGTGACTCTGCAACCCAGGTCCGTGCCCTTGACTGGAAATGGAATGATCGACCCTTTCGTGTGCAGGCCGATGCTCTACCCACTGAGCCACCAGCCAGGCCTCTGAACTCTTCAACGCCCGGCACCCAAGGGCCAGTTCTGTGCACACAGCGGACAGTGCCGAGGACGACTCCTGCGTTCAAACCCTTGTCCTTCCATTGGCTGGCTGGACGTTTGCTACCTTGGACAACTGGCTTAACTTCCCTTTGCCTCAGTTTCCTTATTTGTAACATAAGATGGGTGACAATCACATCTATTCGTAGGCTGCTGCATGGATTACGCAGTCAGTACCCAGGAGGAGGTGGGACACATGGCCCCGCGTGTGCGCTCCGCGGGTGTAAGCCCTCGCTGTTGAGCAAAGCGTGAGATTCACCCCAGGACTTTCTTGCTCGCTGTTGAGGCTGCAAGCACACTGCTCATCCTGTGTCAGAGATGGTGCTCTTTCATTCCAGCCTGGGCTGCACAGGGGGCACCGTCCCCACAGAAGGCCCTGCTTAGCGGGATGAGGCAGTCGCAGCTCTCTCCTGCATGTGGCCCTGGCAATAGCTGCTCGGGTGGGAAGCGGGCCTTTTGCTTGGGTATTAGCCTCTGTGCTGGGCCCGGTAGGAAGGGCTCCAGAGACCTGAGCCCTACACAGTGTGGGTCCTGCTCTGCAGTCCACAGCCAGCCCTTCCCAGGAAGCAGAGTGGCTCCTGAGGATCGATTGGGGCCAATCCCAATGTGACAACAGCCGCTTTTATTAAGCACTGACCCTGGGCCAGGTCCTGTTCTCAGCTAATCAGTTAGTCCTCCCACACCCCACGGGATCGGTAGGGTCATAACTGATTCTCCAGGTCGTTCCTGTGGGGCACACAGTGTTGACGGGCATGGCCACGGCCGCAGGAAGGGCACACAGCTGGGACTGACCCAGGGCACCTGGCTTCGGAGCCTGCTCGCTCAGTCCTTGCTGACGGCCTCATCATGGCGCCAGGACCACTGCCAGCCCATCCTCACCGGCCTCCAGGCCGAGGCTGGCCACGCACCTGTCCCTTCTAGCCTTGTGGGGACTGTAGTCCGAAGGCGTGGCAGCCCCTCTCTGCTGTGACTGGGGACACCGGGCTCACCTGGCATTTCCCTGTGAGTGGGTGTGGGGAGCTGAGGGACCTGTCTTGTTCCTCCAGCTCTGGACGAGTGGCTGGTCTTCTCCTGGTAGCAGGTGGCTTCTGTCAGGAAGCTGCGTTTGAAAGGCCCTGCCTTCTTGGGAGCAGTTAGAGACTATCCATCCTTTAGAGCAGCGGTTCTCAACCTGTGGGTCGCGACCCCTTTGGCGGTCGAACGACCCTTTCACAGGGGTCGCCTAAGACCATCCTGCATATCAGATATTTACATTATGATTCATAACAGTAGCAACATTACAGTTATGAAGTAGCAACAAAAATAATTTTATGGTTGGGGGTCAC